TATATATATATATATATATATTTGCGACGACGTGCCATCTAAATCGTTTTTTTTTATTTTTTCTTCTTTTATTCTTCTTATTTTACCTTTAATCTCTTTAACAAAAAAACAAAAAAGATAAATAAAAACAAAACAAAAAAGAGAAAGAGAGAAAGAGGGAATGAAGTGGTGGTGGGTGGGGTGGGGGGAGTTTAAATAAAAGGAGGTCAGAAAATTTGAAGTAAAAATCGAAGTTAAGCAAGAAAAGAGAAGAGAAGAGTGGAAAGGAGAGAGAACGTGTGTGTACGACGAAGCTTTTGCAAAAGGAAACGCGATAAAAGAGATTCCTTTGACCTCGGTGGGTACGACCTCATTTCGCTAGAACGCACGTACACTTACTTACACACATATATATATGCACGATACATACGTATATATGGTTACCTACACAGACATATATTGTTCATCCTGTGCCGAGAGACGACCTCGTTTTACGTGTTTTTCTCGGCTTCTCGCTCGCGAGCACGAACGATGCGAAAGAAAGAAAGAAAAAAAGAAAAAAAAAATAAATAAAAAGAGAAGATAGATAGAGACAAGGGGAAGACAATTTTCCCTCGTCTGTGTGAAAGAAATCTTAATAGCGGGTGAGGGAGCGGGGTTGGATAATCGGTCGTGGAGTGACCCTTCTAAAGAAAATTTTGGAAGCTTTTTACGCGTGCACTTGGAATAAGGATAAATCGTAACGACAATGAATTACATAAATTGCGATTCGCTAATCTTGAAATTTTGTATAAGCACGGCAATGATGTTTTATTTATTTTCAAGTAAAAATTGTAACGCAACGTGGTATTACGTTATTGGGGTATACACAATATCGTTTATATTACATATTATATTTAATTACAATATCGATTAATACATCATCAATTTGAATACATATAATAATAATAATAATAATAACATAATTGTTAGAGAAAAAATATCGATGCAATTAACAGCATTATTGGAACAATAACAACAACAACAACGATGGCATACGACGTGAAACGTAAAAAAGAGAAAGGTAATAAAAAAAAAAATAAACACACACACACACACACAGACAGATATGTGTGCAAGGAGTTTATAAAAATAATAAAAAAATAATAAACAGGCTCTTTCTTCTCTCGTATACGTCGTGTCGTTATTTTCGTTACGAAAGAAAAAAAGAAAAAGGACAAAAATAAGGCGGAGTAATAAGGAGGGGGGGGGGAAGGGGGTGTGGTGTGGTGGTTAGGGCGAGAGGTGGAAAGAAAAAAAAATAAAGCAAGTAGTTAAAAATTGTTGAGTTTTCCTATATATTAGAGTACCTCCAACACTCGAGAAAATGAGAGAGAGTGAGAGAGAAAGAGAGAGAGATATATGATATACTCCTCTTTGAAGTACGAGAAAGGGCAAAGTTATCGTCCAATTTTAGAACTGCAAGCCGATCGAAAGGACACCGGGAGGAGGATCGCGTTGGGTCATGCGATTTATCCGGTAGGATGATTTTATTTTCGAACAGAAGAACCTTCTTTTTCTAACTCATTCCACTTCCTATCTTCCTTCCTTCCTTCCTACCAACCAACCAATCAACATTCTTCCCTGAGTAATAAAGATCACCGAGACGTTAATCGATGCTCGATTTGTTCGACAACGAAAATGTACGGAAGGTATGTAATATGTTGATTTTTCTCCATTTTTTTCTTCAACGCATACATATATATACATGCATAGATATATCTTTTTTTTTACATTTGCAGGTATGTATATATATATATATGTGTGTGTGCGTACGCGTGTTGTTTGCGCGTGTATTACGTTTGCGTTATAAGCGCAAGCTTTTGACCTACATTTCTTTTTTACAGCAGCTTGTACAGTGTACATACACACATTGTAGATACGCGCGCCGCGTGGAAGATCAAATAATTTTTTTGTAAAATGTTCGAAAAAATATCTTATCACAGCTGTGTGTGTGTGTGTGTAATAGTTATCGTTGCAAAGGCAAAAAACAAAGAAATTAAAAATTAGGCTTTATAAGCCTATAGAAAAAAGTTGGGGAGTTGTTTTGTTTTTTTCGTTTTTTTTTTACTTTAACGTGTGCTAGTATACGTTCGTCTTCTTCTTATTTTTCTCCCCTTTCCTTTCCAACCGTTGATTAAATTATTATCACCATATTTTTGTTGAAATTATTTTTTGTTTTTTTTGGGTTTTTTTTTATCTATATATTATGAGGTTAATAAAATAAAGATCGATTGTGGATATCTTATCGGTCGGAGAATAATTTATTTGTCGTGAAAAATTTTTAATGTTAGCGTTCTTGATTTTTTTTCTTGTTTTCTTTTTTTTTGTTTTTTTTTTTTAAAACGTAATTTATAAAATTGTTATTCGAATTATATGTGTTACGTCGAATCGATTAATTTTTTTCTTCGACAGAGATATTTTTATAACCGATATTTCATACCATACACAACCATTTATCAATTGCATAAGAATAATATTATTCTTAGGTATAAAAAAAAAAAAATGTACAAAATAAATTTATAAGATCTTTAATACGGCTGACGAGATGAACGATTTAACAATCAACTTTTTTTTTGTTCTAAGAAATATTTCTATTAATTTCATTATTCTTTCTATAATTATTAATTATAATATGATTTTTACGAAATAAATTGAAAAACAATTTAGAAAATAAAAAGAAAAAAGAAAAAATAAAAGGAAGAAATAATAATAACATAAAAAAAAGAGAATAATCGAATTAATATCTTCCTTTCTTTTTGTAATACGAATCGAATGAGAAAAAGTCGGTCAATTTTTCTCTTTTGTCCCGCATGCGTATCAATCGAGTATATTTACTACTACTACTACTACTATTATTATTATTATTATTATTATTATTATTATTATTACTATTACTAATACTACTAACTCATCCCTTGAAGCGTCACGAAACATCGTAACACGCATGCGGTACAACAACCGCATATCCCAGGATATGCTTGTACCACGCACGCATGCACGCGTGCACGCATGCACACGCAAATTCGTCATGTGGAATATATTGCGTTGCTTGAAAAAGGGGTGGGGTGAGGAGACAGGGGGTGAAAGGGAGACAAAGGGAGAGATAGAGAGAGAGAAGGATATACAAGGGGTAGTGGGGGGGGGAGGTAAAGGAGGAGGAACCAGCTGTCTCTGCACTCGTGCCTTTTTTATGTTTAATTCTTTTTTCCCCTCTCGAACTTCCCCCCCACTTCCCTCCCCCCTTATTCTCCTTACTCCTTTTTTTTTCTCCCTTCTCAAACAACATCCTGTGTCTCGTCACTGTTTCGAGTTGATCTATCAAACTCTCCCTTTCGCTGTAACCTTTTTATCCCTTTTATTAACAATAAAATGGGCCTCTGTCTCTCTCTCTCTCTCTCTGTGTTAGCTCTTTGAATAATTATTTAATAATAATAATAATAATAATAATAGTATAAAAGATTAAACGTAAAATTGCACAAGAAATTATGATAGTTTTGTACGGTAGTATGATAATTGTAAAAAATATATTATAAGTATAAAATTAAATAATATTATTCACAATTATATATATATAATTAATTAATATTATATTAATATTAA